TAAAGTCAACTAAATTTTTTATTTAAAAAAATAAATTAATAATATAATAGATGGTAAGTTATTTTTATTAATTATCAATATTTAACTACATTTGTTACTATAATTTAAAGTCAATTAAATTTTTTATTTAAAAAATAAATTAATAATATAATAGAAGGTAAGTTATTTATATTGATTATTAATATTTAACTACACTTGTAACTGTAATTTGAATCAACTAAATTTTTTATAATAATTTAGTTTGTAAGTTATTTTATTGATTATCAGTATTTAATTACACTTGTTACTGTAATTAAAGTTAACTAAATTTTTTATAATAATTTAGTTTGTAAGTTATTTTTATTGATTATTAGTATTTAATTACACTTGTTACTGTAATTTAAAGTCAACTAAATTTCTTATTTAAAAAAATAAATTTTATTTGGGTGTAAGTTATTTTTACTGATTATCAGTATTTGATTACACTTATTACTGTAATTTAAAGTCAACTAAATTTTTATTTAAATTTAATAGATAGTAAGTTATTTTTATTGATTATCAGTATTTAATTACACTTGTTACTCTAATTTAAAATCAACAAAATTTTTTATTTAAATAAATAAATTTTATTAGTGAGTAAGTTATTTTTATTGATTATCAGTTTTAATTACATTTGTTATTATAATTTAAAGTCTACTAAATTTTTTATTTAAAAAATAAATTTTATTAGTTGGTAAGTTATGTTTAATTTTTATTAATATATAATTTAAACATAATCAAATTATAATATAAAATATTATTATTATATATTTAATAATTTATCTATTAAGTATTATGTTTTATATTTTAAAATAATAATTAAATAATAATTATAATATTAAAACTATAAAATTATTATTAGAAAAAAAAAGGGATTTGCTTAAATTGTAATAAAAATAATACAGGATTTAAATGGTGTAAAAAATGTTATTCTAATTGTTTTCAGTAAAGTTTTTCTAATTGGATTAGTAAAAATAAATTTATTGATAAATTTATTCAAAATACTCAAATAAATACTCAAAATAAAATGCAATTTTTAGAATGGATTTCTTATGATAAATTTAAAAATATTGAGTATCTTGATAAAGAAGGATTTAGTATTATATATAAAGCAATTTGGACAGATGGATTTATTAAATCTTATAAATTTGAAGAGAAAAAATAGATTAGAAATAATAGTATTAATATAGTTCTTAAAAGTTTTGATAAATCATTAAATTTAAATGAAGAATTTTTAAATGAGGTATAAATTAATAATTATATTTAATTTTAAATAATAAGTTTTTAAATTAATTTATTTTTTTTTTAGTGAAAACATCATATTAAATATTATAGTCAATTAAAAAAATATTCTGATGAAAATCTTATTCAATTATATGGATTTACTCAAGATCCAAATACTTTAAATTATATGGTAATAATGAAATATGTAACAAAAAATAATTTGAGAAAAAATTTATCAAATATAATTAAAGATAAATGGATTATTAAATTATTACAATTAAATAATATTATTAGTGAACTTGAGGAAATACATCAAAAAAATCTTATTCATTGTGATTTTCATCATGGTAATATTTTAAATATTAGGAATAATATTTTATTTATTAGTGATTTAGGATTATGTATATCTGTAAATTATTTTCAAACATCTAAAAATAATGAAATTTATGGTGTTTTACCATTTGTAGCTCCTGAGATTTTAAGAGGACAAAATTATACTAAAGCTAGTGATATATATAGTTTCTCTATGATTATGTGGGAATTAATATCAGGAGTTTCTCCATTTAATAATAGAGCTCATGATTTTTAGCTTGCTTTAAAAATTTGTAGAGGTGAATGTCCTAAAATTATTAAAGATGTTTCACAATGTTATATAAATTTAATGAAAATATGTTGGGATGAAAATCCATTAAAAAGACCAACTGCATCAGAAATTAAAAAACTTATTAGAAATTGGTATAATAATATTATCATTAAAATTTTGATATAGAATTAAAAGATGATATTATAGATTTTTATAAAGCTGATAAAGCATTAAAACAAAATCAAGATAATAAATTAATTGATTTGAAAGATCATCCACAAGTATTTCATACAAATCATTTACTTGATTTTACTGAAAGATTAAATGAAATTTTAGATCATGAAATTAAAAGTTTGAAAATTAGTTAAAGTATTAGTAATTATTATAAATATATAAGTATATAATTTATTAATTTTTTTAATTTAACATATATATTTTAATTTAATAGAAACTTTAAATATTACAAATAATAAATAAGTAAATAATTTAAATATAAAATTGAATATATATATTTTTAATTTATTTATATTAATTTATTTTTTATTATAGATGAAAATAAACAAATTAAATATTTTTTTTTTTATAACTATATTATATTATAACTTTTATGAAATATTTATTTAGTAATACTGTATATAGAATAAATATTATAAAAATACAGTTTGTAATTACATAAATAAACTTATATATATATAAATTAAAATATGAATTATTAATGTTTATTAAATTGATTATTATATAAATAATTAAGATTAATAATTAATATAAATTAATTAATTTAATTCAAAAAATTTAGAGTAAATAAATTATATTCTATAAGAAATTTATATATAGAAATAATATATTTTTTATATTCATAAAAAAAATGTATATTACATATAAAAACTGTTCAATTTACAAAGTTATTTTAGCTTTATATGAAACTAATTTAGTATATTTAAAGTTTTATTAAAGTTGAATCTGATCATTATTAAATTAACATTTCTATGATTCTTAGATCACATAATTGTTTTATTTAAAAAATTTGCAGTTTTAATAATTGAATGTTATTTCTTATATATTAATATACCAGTTTCTCACTTCCTTTAAGTTCAAAATAATTGCTTTCTGTTTTTTAAAATTTTTTGAATTAAGTAATTGGATTTTGATGAATTTTAACTATTTGAAGGTTAGAACTTATTGAATCTACTAATCAAAAATTAATAGGAATTGCATTGGTCAAAATCAAAAAAATCAGACATGCAAAAATTGGCCTAAAATTGGCAAATTATTAAAATCAGTCTAGCTGATTGATATATATCAGAAATCAGCTAAGAATCAGCCAAAATTAAACCTATCTTATTTATAGCTAATTGGTATACTTATTACTGATTAGTATACATCAAAAATCAGCTAAAATTTGTCCTATATTATTTATAGCTGATTGATGTCTAATTAAATTAAATTGTTGTAATAAAAATTCAAATTTAATAAAAATAATATTATTACTTTACAAAAGAAAATTTTATAATTATGAAAATGATCTTTACTATAAATTGTACAGGTCAAAGTTATTTAGAAATGGTTTTAAAAATTCAACATTCATTCATTATAGTTGGTTCCAAAGAAACTCAACCGAACCGACCTGTTTCGTCCCAATTGGCAAATAACTTAAAATAAATAGCATGTATTCTAACTAAGTAAAGTTACATTATAAAATTTATTGATTTCCACACATTATCATATAAAATGTATATTTTTATTTAGTAATTACAAACAGAATTCTATATACTCATAATCGGTAAATAAAAATATCGTTAATCATATCCAACGTTACTAATTTTAAATTCCTTGATAACGCCCAGTTTTTTAAACTTTTCAATTATTTTGATATTACTTTTTGACAGTTCTATATCCAATTCTGAACATGAAGCAAAAGTTAAAGAGAGAGGAATACATGGTACGCGATTCGCCCAGCGTTCCAAAATAGACCTTAATCCCCATTGAAATGTTTCCGAATATATGTGAACTCCTAAATCAATTGATAACTCGTAAAACTTTTTAGGTGAAAATTCTACAACAATCTCTAATAATTCACGCTCGTCTAAAAGGAATTCGCAACGCAAAATCTCTAACCTTTCTAATTGTTGACAACCATTAAAAATTCCTTTCAATGGTTCTATGTCTCCATGAAAAGCAGTGCATAAAGACCTCAAATTTGGACAATATTTTCCTAATTTTAAATTTAATGAAACATTAATATTTTCGCAAAGACCAAGTTCCTTTAAATTCTTTCCATTATTTTCCAGGAATTTAGTTAAGTATTCATCATCTGGACATTCGTATCCAAATGTTAAAACTTGCAATTGCGGAAAGACAGCATGTTGAAGGTTTTTAAAATATTTTAAATCACCTATTTTGTTAAATAAAAATAACGAAAGTTCTTTCAAATTCGAAAGTTCTGAAATGAGTGACCATGGTATACGATAACGTCCTCCAGAAATGCGTAACTTGGTTAATGTATCAGGAAATTTTGTAAACAGTTGCCTGTTATCTGTTAAATAATCGTGAAATATTAACTCCAAGTACTTTATATGTCTTTGAACAGAAACTAATTCTATTAATCCATTTAAGTCGTTATCTTCAATAATTATCTTTAGCGATCGTAAATTGTGACAAATTCGAGATAGTTTATAAAAAAATTCAGGATAAATATTTGAATTACACTTCAATTCAGAAAGATCTCTTAAACAATCTTCTCCTCCAGGATAGTTGATAAATGGTATATTTATGTAGTTTGTACGAGTGTAAAAATCAAAATCTAAATGTTTCAGAGAGGTTTGATTCATTAACATTTTAAATATTTCCTGTGTTACCACCATAGATTGTTGATTTTTTTCAAAGCTTTCTAGTTTAATAGGACGACGGAGTTTAAGAAATCGTTTAATTGAATTACAAATATCAACAATCCGAATACTCTTGATAAATGTTGTATAATGAAATAATGGAGGTTTTGAAGTTGAGGGCGAAATTATAACTTTTTTTTTCAGATAAAATCATTTTTGATTCATTAGGAAGGCAGGTTATTAAAGTATTATAATTTTGAATTTTTCTCCATAAAATTCGAACAGAAGTTTCACACCAAAGTCGGTTTACTAGTAAGCATGACCGTAAATCCTTATCCTCCAAATATACAAAAATTTCATTTAAGCAGTCAGCAGGGAGTTCACGAGGCATTTTGTTTAAAGAAAAAAAATGGGGGAAAAAATACGTTTGAAAGAATTTACTGAGGAAAAAAAAAATTTTTTAACCAAAAAAAGCTATTTATAGACAAATGCAGATGGTTGGTGTCACAAATCAATTGACGATCATTTTAATAAACGTTAGCTAATATTTTTTGCTTACATAATAAAAAGAATTTTGAATTTAAATATTCTCCTAATGTAATTCTGGAATAAAAAATAAATTGATTGTATATAATTTCTTTTTTTTTAGTTTTGGGTTCGCATTTGATAACTTCGGACTGCAACGATAATAAATGTTGCAAATTACTTTACGACAAAGCACGACAAAGTATAATTATCTTATTTGGCCGTGTCATTACATAAATTAATCGCCGTTTATTTTGAAATGAAATGATTATGAAGAAAAATAAGAAATTAAATTTTCTATTTCACTTTCAGAACTATCATCACCACCAGATAAATTAATTCATCATCCTTATTAAACAAATCATCTGGTTTCCTATATGATAATTTTCTTCCAATCATTTCTCTTCATAATCTTCATATAAGCGTTTTTTCTTTACATTCGCGTCCCAATCCTCATAACAAATTGATTTACCTATTGTGGTTCTGGTAATCCGAAATTGATCTTACACGAAATTGTAATGACGCAACACGACCTTTCTTATAGGCTATAGTATACACACCCTATAAAACGACATTTTAATTATTTTAGTAAAGATAAATAATTACATGCAAAAAAAATTGAAGGGGGAAAAAATAGATAACCTAGCGATAAACTTGCAAAAGAATATTACTAAAAATGTGATAAATTTTGCTTCCAAAAATTGTAATTATGACAATCCTGCCATCACAACAATCATAAATATAAGAAACACCCGAGTCTCATTAATAATATTTAACATTATTTTCGCTGGATTTTAATTATTTTAATTTTAATTTTAAATCAAAATCTTAATTTCAGAAAAAATTAATTTACGATATATACAAATTCAACATCATTAAAAGAAATTCAATAGTCGTTTTCTCAGTTTAGCAATTGCATTTTTGATATTAACATAAACTGACATTAACACTATTTCTATAACAGTTTGAAGCAAAATCCGTAAAATTAAATAGTTTAAAAATCTCCAATTATGATGTTCAATTTTTCTGTATTCTACAACTAATAAGTAATATCCTAAAATAATATAAAGGAATAATAACCTGTAGCTTCAAAATGTGTTACATAAGTTTCATTAACGGGTCGGTCAACCGGTCAGTTAATATCGGTCAGTTAACCGTTCAGTCGGTCAAAGGCCTTTGACCGACCACGAACTACCGTTACCACAGCTTTTCAAGTCCTAAAAACAGATAATATCTATATATCAAATGATACAACAATAGTTTGAGTAATAGCTTAATATATAAGATAAACAATCACATGACGACGTTATTTTCGATTTCATTATAAATCGTTTGTAACAAAAAGGTACCATGGAGATGTCAATGGATTTCATGTGCTTAAAACTTAACAACACGTTTATTTGACAATCATTTCAATTAAAAATTTTATAGTAATTAGTGCTGTGTTTTTAATTTTTTTTTGTTTTTATTCGAATCCGTCCGCATATGATCACAAATGTTTATATCCATGTTTTAAATTTCAAAATTTTACTCCATAAGATACAAAAGAACGGAAATTTATTGCACGAATAAATTGTAGGCAAGTATGTGATAGATTATATTATTATTGGGAATGACAAAAAGAACTTTGTACAGAATAATGAGGAACATTGCGGTTCTTTCTCAAAATGGCAAAAATATTGCCAATAATTTATAACTTTAATTTAACAATGAATTTTATTTTAGACATTTATTAATATAGTTACTATTTATAGCGGCATTGTTTTATTACAATAGCGTATTACAAAAAATTTTCATAAATGACGGTCATTTTTATCACTGCGTTTCTATTATATTTTATTACAATAGTAGCATTTAAATTCATATTAGAGCAATTTTATTTAAAATTTCATAATAGATCGTTTTTTGTTATAATAAAATTTATTACGACCTTACATAATCTAATTTTAAGTTTATTACAACTCAACTTTTATTACATAAAAAAACTTAAGAAATTAGTATAATCATCGTCAAATAATATTTAATACATTGAAAAAACGACTTGAATTAAATTTTCGGCTAATTTTGATGGTATTCAAGTGACATTCACCACCCACTTTAATAATATGCGACTTCAAAAAGTGTGTCGTCGATAAATTCACGATAATGTTACGCGCATAGTAACAGGTTTCTGCAAAGTATCACCCCAGATACTGACCATGAACATTCAAATTCCAATGTCTAACTTTCACATCTACAGACCTCCGCCAAAATTCTCCGAACGTCATCTTTCAGGGGCTATTTCATACCGATTACATCGTATGACTGTTTAATACTACGGTCATGTAATGTTCCTGACTTGAATGAAAACTAAATAAAAGCGTGTTTAGTTTGTTTATTTTGATTTTTAACCAAAATAAAATTTTACCTTCCGAAAATCACGAAAATGTTCAACAGATCAACGCGGCGGTATAAATTTTGCCGTCAACGTGGCGATAGTTATCGAGCTATTGTCGCAAATATCGGTTGTGGATTGTTAACAGCATTTAGAACTTTAAAAAGAATGGATGACACCGGAACCGTTAATTCGAGGCTTCGTTCTGGTCGTCCATCCTTAATTAAAGATTCGCAGCGAAGCCGGCTGAAGCAATTTGTCACTATGTCGCTGCGAATTCGGGCTGTGATGAGGCAAATGGAGGCCCGACCAAGTACTAATTATTTAGTACCAAGTGTGTAGCATATCGTACATTAATAAATAAATTAATAAATTTTTTTAATAAACTTTAAAATTAAAAGTTTTATATTGAGCCAAAAGCGTTCGGAGACTTTGGCGGGGGTCTGTAGTTGAGATTTAAAGAGGTTATTAATCTGATTCTAGAGGAATTATAATTGTACTTAATGACAAAGTTTTGGTGTAATAAATTGTATTTAGTATTTTCGTTAATATATTTATAAACAATTTTGGAAGGTATTAATTGAATAAAAATGAAGCAATTACGTCAAATTTTTATTTAATAATATCAAATGTCGATGTTCTAAACTTTCGCAATGTCAATATATTAAACTAAAATTGTGTAATTACGATAATTACAAAATGTTGAATAATAAAATAATAATAAAATCAGAAATTAAAAAAAAAAACGGTTACATATTCGAAACCTAAAAAGCTAAAACAGCGAAAGTGAAAATATTGTGAAGGGTTTAAAGGAAGAATTTCAAGGACTATGTATGCAAGATATAACAAGGGCGAGCGTGAGATGTTAAGTTGTTTAAGGATTTCTGACTTTACATATAAAAAAAATTATTAAGACAGCCTGACGCCCTTATAGCCTGGCCAAGATTTTCTATAAAGACTAACCACAAATTTCGAAAATATTTTTAGCGAACTAATTTCAGATGGCATTACTATTTACAAGGAAAGAAAAAAAAGTACTTTACAATTTTCAAATATGAATTTATATCTTCTTCAGAAACCCTACTAATAATGAAAGTCCCGCAACTTTCTTACGAAAATGAAATATATAAAAAGAAGATATAGAAAATATAATATATAAATGTCTTCTTTCTAATAACAAAAACATTGCTAACATTGATTGAGATATAGTGCGACGTTAATAAAGAGGATTCCATAGAATTCTTGAAATATATTAAGGGATTGACTACTGGTTTATATACGAGCAAAATTAGAATGAAAAAAAGTTATCAACGTATTGTAATTTTTATTTTACGCTTTTCACAATTGTAATTTTTTTGATTTGTTTAAATACAAATGTGGTTCAATGAAAATAAAATCATTAACCGATCACAAATGTTGCATATGCTGTATAGTTACTTTTGTATCGCAGGCAAAATTTTGTAAAAAGGATAGGCTTTAAAAATTGCAGGAAATGTTTTGATGACTTCTCAAAAAAACTGTATTATACTGATGCTTATCTTTTGCAACACCAAATCTTCTATAAAGTAAATCTAAAAACTGCATTTTCTACAGTAGCATAGAGAAATTATTGTTGTAAAGCTTTTTTAATCATATATGTGATATTTATTTTCCATTTTTTTTTTTGCGCTGATTGTACTAACCAACAAAGTTATTTTTTGGTTTGGTTCAGTTGCTAAATAAGTATTAGACTTTCTGACGTTCTTATAGCTTATTCTTTATGCACTTCATGTAAATAAAATTTTTGATGTTTAGTTTTCGAAAATATTATTTTTACCTAACCTGGTTAAATGTCCAGAAATGAAAAAAAAAATCAGCTTTTGGCTGTAGCATTTTGATGGTTTTTAAAAAATTGCACCCCTTCTTTTCTATAGAGTTCTCATTGGATCTGATTCTGAGTATATTTAATTTATTTTCATATATTATTATATTTTAATTTGATCTGGGTTTAGTCACTTCGGAGCGTATCGATTGAACGATTTCTTTTTCAAATTTTCATTAGGTTCCACTTCCATAAAAGATATTTATTAATTATTCTTTTATTTTCTTATTTTTTTTTTTCTCATTTACT